GAGGCGTTCTCTGTCTGTATGTGTACCTTTGCGATATCGAGCGCAGCAGCAGCTCGCAGTATATGGCACGGAGAAAGAGTCGAGTGAGTCGCCGAGACAGGGGTACCCTCATTTGTCCAACTGCACGCTCGGTACTGCGAGCGCCGCGTGCCGTGTACAAAATATACGTGTACATGTATACGATCCTCACTGTATGTGCATGTGTGCTACAGTACAACGTGACTCATGTATAATACAGCGCTGGCGTGCTTTTATATACACACGTTTATTATACTTTATCGACGTCCATGGCCATCTCTTTCGTTTGACGACTCCTGCTGCTGCTGCTGCTGCTGCTTCTGTCTGATATATTTCGCACCACAGAGAAAATACGTATGGCGTGGATGACAAAAAACCTCCCGCATGACGTACAATTTGAGCTGCAACTTCTTAACGCGCGAATTAACGCAGAAACTCGCGAGAGAAATGACAGCGGCATGCGGCAGCTTACGTGTGCGATGCCGCAGTGTGTATTTATAAGATTGCAGCCGCGGCGGCGCGTTGGCGGTACACGAGGCAGTGCTATATGCACGCACGAATTGGCCCGACAAGATTCGCTCAAATTGTCGTGTATATAGTGCATAAACGGTGCGATCTGCGGCTTATATATAATACGTACGTGTGTGTAATAAACGTGTATGTGCCTCGTAAATTAATTCGCTAACGAGAGGAAATCACATGCTAGTTCAGTGTAAGAACTGCAAAGCAGTACCTCGTTGCAATGCTCGTGACGAGGATCGTAGTCGATCTCGTGTACGCCCACGCTTCAACTGCCAAACTGCACAATCTACCCGTTACACCGCTGCGACTTATATATGCTATACCAGTGATAGTAGTCAAACTCGCGAGAGAGCGAGATGTCTATCTCTCGCGGAGTGCAGCTTATAAGTCGGAGCAGTTCTTCGTGATGGAGGATATGAAAAACGGAAACTGTAATAGGTGTCTCGTTTCGCTCACTCACACACACATGCACATGTACACGGGCGATTATACGTAGTAGCATGTGTTGCTGTTGCTGCTGAATAGTCTCTCTCTCTCGTAGGTGTCGTAATAATATATTGCCGCATGGCTAACGACCGATGTATGCATATTAGAGAGCGAGGCGCGTCTTGTACTTTGGCCATAGTAGTGTGTTACTTCATCGATACACGCCAATTATCAGCCGAAGGGTTTCACGCGCGATGCACAGCAGTAGCAAAAGGTATTTACTCAAGGGGGAGGGGGGGCTGGCGTCAATGTCAAAGGGCTATACACCTCCGCATTATACTCGTGCGTTGAACGCTATCGATCGCACCGCGGCCAATGTATAATATTAAGCCGTGGGCGACGACTGCACGACGATGACTGAGACTGGCAACGGAACACATACACACACACGTGTACACAGAGCAGTAGTTGGATTGTCGCATAGACGTGCACACATCAAGAGAGAGAAAGAGAGATTAGTGATAATTCAGCGATCACTTTGTCCGACTCTATTGGTCAACTATCGCTGCTGCTGCCACTGCTGGTTCTGCGCTACTGTGCGGCTCGGCTACACAGTGTAATATATGCATATTATAAAAACTGCCGCCGGAGCTCCCATGCGATGTAACTGCACACATTACATACACACACACATACACGCGCTATAAGCACGAGCGCCGATATAATGCAAATAAATTTGTGTAAATATGCACGTGCCCGAGCTATACCGAGCTAATCGCCATCCTCGCCCGTGTTGTTTTTATGCACTTGAGCATTATTATTACAATATACAGATGTGTGTGTGTATGTTATAAACGTGCTCCGCTTCACAGTCGCTAGGATGATGATGATGATGATGATGATGATTTTTTGCTGCCAAGTGAGAGAGAGAGAAAGACCGTATGTATACGGCAGGCGTCTCTATATATGTACTCAAGCGAGAGCGTCAGTAGCAGCGGCAGCAGAGAGACACCGCGCGCTGAATAGCAAAGGAGCCTAGCGCCGAGTGTACATTATATTATACATGATACATGCGAGCTGCAAGCCGTGCACTTCTGCACCGACTTATACTCGCACATACACTCGCACCATAGTCTGTCGTGGCAATTTCGCAAATTCGCTCGGCAGCGTGAGTTTTCTCTCTCTCTCTCTCTCTCTCTCTCTTACTCGGCGGCGGCGTCATGTATATTTGACTCGCGAGCGAAGAGCTGCAAGAATTACGCGCGAGCTTATCTATGTATATAACCTGTCGCAATATCGCAGAGCAGCTAGCTAGCTCTCGGCGTGTCGTAGTCAACTGCACCGCAGTCGTCGTCGTCGTCGTCGTAGTATAATGTGTCGCTAATTCGAGTTTGCGGGGGGTGGGAGAGAGGGAGGGACGCGGCCGACGCGAAGCCACTACACCGATGTTCCTTTTTTTACATTTTGCTGCCGCTTTCTTCGTTCGCCAGGGGGATAATGAGCTTGAATTATTGAGCGCAGTCGAATAATAATTTTATTAAGTCGAGCCGCGCGCCAACACCGACTCCGCTTTCTGGGACAAAAGTGTGCTCTGCAAATCGATTCGCGGATCGATTGAGTGACAAGGTAGCTTCGTGTTGTGACTTCCGAAGCCGCGAGTCAGGCCAGTTAAATGAGACTCACTGGTGGACATCCTTTCCCTTCGAGCTATGACTTGAAACATTTTGTTGCCGATGGTTTCCGAGCTTTTTCAGAACTCACAACCTCACACATGCATTTGCAAATGCAAGAATATTAAAGGGCTTTAACTATAGATTCTACTCCGTTGATTATTCAGCATCTCGAAACTTTTTCCAAAACTCTTACCAATATCAAGAGAAAGAAAGCATAGAGAACATAGGTATATTTTATCCAATGTAAAATCGGAAATCGAAAATCGGCCCTCCCTCGAGGGAATCAGAAAGTTAATTATTTCGCGCGTCGGGCTAAAACGAGGTGAAACAACAACGACTATTGCGACGACGACGACGACAACTCTGTATAGCGCCGGCCGCACACTGCGAGCTCTGAACACACACACAAAAGAGGGTTGAAGAAAAAAGGAAAAATTTCACGTGCGCGCGGCAAGGCGATCGATAAAAAGTTGGTCGTCGTCGCTATCGTGCTTTCAGCAGCAGCAGCAGCTAAAGCAGAAGCGGTGGTAGTGGCGCGCGCGGCCCTATAACCAGATGTGCTCCCCTTTTCTAGCCCGTCTCTCTCTCTCGGTCGCTATATATATGTGCTGCTGTATACGTACCCCTGAAAAACAATCGGTGCGAAAGGAGAGGGGGTCGCTCTCGGTCGATGACGTAAGAGTTTTTGACATGTATTTCGCGAAACGAGAGGCGGTGGCGACAGCAGCAGCACGTGGCCGATACGCAGTGCACGAGGAGCGCCGCGTCGTTCTCTCTCTCTCTCTCTCCAATATATTTGCAAATTGAAGCTGGTTCAACTTTATGCACGAGGCGCATCAATCCATGTATATATGCGTGAATCGCTATTACGGCTTATATACGCTACTGATGGCAGTCATAGGCGTGCGTGTGTACGCTTTTTTTCGATCGGAGAATCGAACGACGACGGCAGCGGCGATGCAGCTAACAAAATACACTCGTACCCGCTTCTATACTGCTGCTGCACATTTATACATATAGCTATATGCAAACCACAACTGTTGCATCGATAATTTATCGCTCTCCTCTATATGCATACACGTACATACATGTATATATCCGCGCGGCACTCAGTCAGACATTAGTCGCGTTGCTGCTGCTGTCGCTGCAGCGGAGGCAGCAGTTTGTAATCGATGTTATAGGATAGCGAAGAAGAAGTTAGTATTGCCTCTGCTGCTACTACTGTTACTGCTTCTCTAATGTGCAGATATATTTCGAAATCCGTGCATACATGCATATGTACGATGTTTTTTCGCAGTTGACTCTTCGCTCGTTCCTTTCGTTCAGCTTTTTTTCTCTTCTTTTTTTTTTTTTTTTTTAACTCTGCCTCTGTTTGTTCTATTTCTTTTCTCGGTACCTATATATTCGCGCGACTTAATGTTCGTCGAGCGATTCGCCACTGTATTATGGCCCGCGAGGAGTTGATTGATATCTTTTTCTCGAAATTTGCGGTAATAAGAAAAAAAATAAATAAACGCCCTTCGACTCTCTTTCTCTGTCTTTCGTGCTCTTTTTTCGGCTTTTGAAGAGCTTTGACGAAGAGAGCGAGAGAGAGAGAAAGAAAGAGCGAAGGTGGGGACTGCAGCAGCGCAACAGCGAGGGCAGCAAAATAAGAAGCAAATTACATCGGTCGCATCGTCTGGCATGGAATGCAAAAGATAAAGAGCTTTCTTATATACATATAACGTGTGCTCTCGCAGGCACACTCACACACACACATACTCGTGCACATGGGCATTTATGCACGTTACAAAGAACACGGGCTTACATTATATAGGTATATATACGGCAGATATATATCTGCGTGGAGAGAGAGAAAGAAAGAGAGAGAAAGAGCGAGAGAGAGAGATAGCATAAGGCAGTGTGCGCGGAGAGCCGCATATAAGCGACAACGTCCAGGCCGACGACGACGACTAAGGGGAATACATACACACTCTTATTATATACGCACATATACAAGTATCTCTCTTATATAGAGGTGTATATATGTATGCACGTGAAGGTTTATAAAAGTTGAAACGACGACGACTACGGCGACGGCGGCGGCGGTACCGTACAAGGGAAGGCTCGCATCGCGCGGCGTTAAAAGAACCGCCAAGTTGCTGCTGCTGTCGAGTAAAAGAGAGAGAGAGAGAGAGAGAAGCGAAAAGTGGGAGCGGAGGAGCGTGCACGGTACTGTGAGCTGCAACAGCAGCAGCAACAGCACAGGCCACAGGCGCAGAGCTGTATGGCAGCGGCAGCAACAGCAGCAAAAAGTAAAATAAGACAGAGAAAAAGAGAGAGAGAGAGAGAGAGAGAAAAAAAAAAAGAATCGTTACTCACCTTGTGGTGCTGCATGATGGCAGTGGCCTTTCGCTTTGCGGCCATATTCGCTCTCCTCTCGTAGAGTCTCTCTCACTCTGGTTCAGCTGTGCTGTTGGAAAATCCTTTTCTCTCTCTCGCACAGGTATGCGTGTTGTATACCCGTGTACGTATACCTATACAGTACACATATACAGCACACACCACCGGAGCACGTAGTAGCCAACCAGTACCTTGTCCAGGTATTTATAAATCGCTGTATACGTACGTGTGTTCGTGAACTTATTTTCGAAACTGTTCGTTTCCGTGTCTTTCACTTGACACCGGTGCACTTGTCTATTTGTATTTCTCTCTCTCTCTCTCTCTCGAAAACTTTGTTTATTTCTCGATAAAGAAATCGTACAAAAATCGCAATCACCGGACACGGGTCAACGATGCCTACGACGACGATAATAAAACTGCACTTGCTCTCTGCGCACTTGTTGTTGTTATTTTTGTTGTCGTCGTTATGCTAGATGTCACTGTGTTTATATATGTGTTTATATATGTGTGGCGTGCGCGCACACGCAACTATATCAACTGTCAGCCGAGATAAACCAGCTGATAAAACTGTGCATCGTTCGTTCGTCTCTTTTATTCGTATGATATGCGCGTATATCGACGACACACGCACAAGTTCGCGGCGCAAAGGGTTTCAAGTCTGCGAACTCTATCTCAACGATTCATAACAAACGGAGCGATTTCGTCGTCGGTATTATTTTGAATTCGATATCGGAGCATTCGGGGGTGTCGCGTTGCACCGGCTCTTTCACTTGGACGCGATGCAATCGTTGTGTACAATTCGTCTACTTTGGCAGCTGCAGCGGCGTAGACGAAACAACCTCGGTTTTTGTATTATTTCGCACACAATTTTTTTATAATTTGTCTCTCTGCTAATTTATCAACACTGCGGGAACGCGATGATTTATTTATTATACTCGCGTTATGGGTGTGTTTGTGCTCTCCAGCAGAAAAAGAGTCAACAAGAAGTAAGGAGGAAGAAGACGTGAGTATTTTATAATAAACGCCTGGTGCGGAGCGTCCGAACGACGGCGAGAAGCTAACGTTACGAGCGCTCACGTTGGACTGGTGGCGGCGAAACTCAGCAGCAGCAGCAGCAGCAGCAGCAGTAGCGGCTGAGCGCAGCCCGTCGTCGTCCCCTCTCCTGTGCAGTTGGTGTGCGAATCTGTATACATATAGGTATTGGCGCGCGCGAACGGAGCAACACACAAACCGCTCCCCGTTCTCGGCTCTCTTTCTCTCTCTCTCTCCTTTCTCATATATAGGATACGAACTCGCCTTCGTCTATAGGTGTACGTGCTTGCGCGTGTACGTGTGTCCGTGGCCGCGCGCGGTTGCTCCCCTTACACCACGTTGACACAGCGCGTTTCATATACATAGGTATATATGATATTACGGAGCGCCTACCCTACACACACACACACACTGAGACGGCGCGCACACCTTAATATAAATGTATTCCTGTGCGAATTGCGTGCTGCTGCAGTCGTATGCGGGGGTGTACACGTGCTCGGCTCGACTTGCTCCTTTCTCCCTATATACATATCGCCTGCTGCACCCCTCCCCGTTGCACGAGTATCCCCTCGCCGCCGCCGCTGCTGTTGCTCCTGCTTTGCCTTGCGCTCGCTCGCAAACCTATAGTAGAGAGAGAGAGAGAGAGAAAAAGAATGAGAGAGAGAGAGATGCAAACCTATCGTAGTTATATAGTATTCATCTGTATTATGCGCTTGTCCGTAAAGCACTACAAAACAGTTCGTTGCTCTGCTTATGGGCTCTCTCTCTCTTTCTCCTTCTCGTTGCGTGCATGCTAACCCAGAGCGGCGCGGCTTGCAGTTCGACACAGTAGGAGCATTATTATATGCTTACTGGTGGTGGCGGCTCTCTGTCTACTCTTCTCGCCTGTACTGCTGTGCCCTTTAAACTTTTAGTAAACGTCAAGACTATGTGTGTGTGTGTGCGGCCCACATGCATGTAGGCGTGAATAACTTGTTACATTTACGACAAACCCATGCCAACTGTGTAAAGCGAGCTATGTTGCAAAGACTCGATCTGTACCTTCGTATATGGTACCTCGTTGCTGCAGTAAGTGCACCTGTGCTGCTTTTGCTCCCGTGTACTGCCCGAGAGCAACGGCCACTGCACAGCCTGGAAAACCCAAGGCCCTCGAGAGACACAGAGGAATTTATCTTTTTGTTTAATCTTTTTGACCTATTTTTTCCCCTTTCTTTTATTGTCCATGCGTCCTCGGCTTTTTTTTCTCTTTCTCTCTATTTTTCCGTAAATGCTATGTGTATGTGCGCGTATTAAAATATACGAAATGTTCGCGACGGTGGCAGCGACTTTATCTATGAAAAAGTCTGCGGTCTATACACATGCCCCCCCCCCCTGCACCGACACTGCTGCGGGCTCTGTACGTATATACGTACATGCAGCAGCAGAGGCAGCAGCAGCGCATAGATCGAGAGCGAGAGAGAGAAAAAAGAGAGAGACCCTTGCCCACCCCTGACGTCTCCTCTCTCTCTCTCTCTCTCTCTCTCTCTCTCCGCACTCACTCCTGTCCTCCCTTTCTCTGTATATAGATTGCCAGAGAGACAGCACATAGCCAGAGTAGAGTTGAGGCCGAGGCAGCAGCAGCAGCAGCAGCAGAAGCAGCAGCAGGTTCTCGTTTTTCTCTCTTATTTTTCCCGAAGAGAGAACGCGTTGCTGCTGCTGCCTCGGCTCTCTTCTCTCTTCTCTCTCCGCGCGCCGCAGCGCGCTCCCTTTTGCAACGCGCACAGAAAGAGAGAAAGAGAGTGAGTGAGTAAGAGAGCAGTGCAAAAAAGGGGGAAGAGAGAGAACGAGCGAGCGGCTTTAGTCCAGCAGCGGAGTAGTATAGCGTTGGAGGTGCTTCTCTGTCACCCCTCTTTTTTCGCCCATTACTCCGTCGAGCTATATAGCCGAGAGACAGAGAGAGAGAGAGAGAGAAAAAGAGAACGTCGTCGTCGTCGTTGCCGTTGACGTCGTTCTACTCGTCCCTTTTTCACCAAGTGACTCTCAACTTACCACTGCCTCTATATACGTATGTGCACCGCCTCTCTCTCTCTTTCTTTACGTACCATACATGTATAAAGGGAGAGCTCAAACTTTGGTATATATATGTGTATCCATCGTCGTAGTCATCTTCGCGGCGAGGCTTTTCTTCTACCTCCTCCTCTTCCTCCTCCACCTCCTCTCTCCACCGTCACCTCGTGTCTTCTCTTTTTCGTTTTCTTCGTTTCCTTTGGCTCAGCTCGAAGAAGCACATAGCCGTTGCAACAGCAGCAGCACACCCACCTATATGCGCAAATACACAGACACGTGTCCTTTTTTTTTCATTGCTTTTATGCTTTACGGATAAGCTCGCCGCATGTATGCGACGTATTGCATTGAACGTGCGAAGAGTTTTTATGCGGCTGACCTGTGCCAAAGACGAAAATTATAACAACTATATAATATTGAGATGCGAGAGCTTGAATTACAACGAGTATCTTGACTTTTGTTCTTTTAGTGAATGCGTTAATGTAATGGACTTGCATAACGCATGCAAATACGGAGCTTAATTTCAAAAATAATTATATCTGAAAAGCATTAACATCTCAAGAACTTTTTGGTAAATATCTTACTTTAAACTTGAAGTAAGCTTAGATATATTGTCTTGAAGTCTAAACTTGGCGTTTTGCGTGAGAATTATTTGTCACTATCAATTAGGATCGTTTCTCCTGTTAGCTCCATATATTTCGGACAATTGATTTATCGTCACGCCAAATTTTCAAAATTTTTGAAAAATTGTAAATAAATTGCCGAAAAAGAGAAAATAAAAAATCAGACTTTTAACAATAGTGCGTATGTTTTATGTTTTTACGGAAGATCAATCGATCCATTGCCTTCTAATATCATACTCACATGCACTCACAGTACACTTTTTGCTCTATATCGCTGTTGGGTGCACGCAAATTATGTGAAGCTATATGCACATGCTGCCCACACGCAAGTGCTAATAAAGTTTGCGAACGCGAGCAGACAAAATTGTGAGAATTTTCTGCTCTGAATTGCATGCGTTTGGATTTGCGCCTCTTTTCAGTAAAAACTCGACCTCCTTCTTTTGGCCGTAGAACAGAGCCCAGTGCAATGCTGTGTTGCCCAATTGGTCCCGGAAGTCGACCTGAACCTTCTTTTTTAATTGGTCGCATACCTCGAACAATATCTTCATCAAGTCATTATCACCTTATCTCTTGCAAATAAGGTGCAGAGCAGTGTCTATATCATTGTTGGCCAAATTTGGGTCGGCACCTTGTCTCAGCAGCAATTCGACCACCTTTTCATTGCCTAGAATTACAGCCAAGTGCAATGGTGTGTTACCAACCGTTGTCTGGATGTTGATATTCATTGTCTGACCAATTTCTGCGTTCATCTTGAGAAAGTTCTCTACCAAATCCCGGTTGCTACAGCAAAGAATGTGTAGAGCAGCGAATCCGTCCGCGTCGCCGAGATTCGGATTGCTCCTCTTTTCAGTAGCAATAGGGTATTTGCATAAAAGAAAGTAATGATATTTTTGAAATCAGCATATATGAATTATCAATGAATATTTTTTTTTTAAATTTTTCATTGCGTTTTTACTTAAAAATTTATCTTTTCAAAAAAAAACAACTTTTCAAACGGCCGAAAACGCGCCGAAAGCACCCGTAGCTGTGCGAGCGCACCGTGACGTCATACTTATCAGTAGACGCATATACATAGTTATACAAATTACATACAGCAGCCGACTTAGGTTGTAAGTATGACGTCACAGTTATGCGCACCAATCAAAATCGTTTGTGGAGTTCAAAATAATTTTCGAATTTTTTAGATTTTTATTCTCGTATTAAAAATTACCTGACTGTTCAAAATTGTTTATTTTTTTACTCCCACATTCCTTGATACGTATATTTTACTATAACGTAATTATTTCAATGATTTTTTTTTTCATGCTAATACCCTATTTGACTGTCTTCTTATTTCAATAAGGCACAGCCCAATATAGCGGTGTCTGGCTGCGATCGTCGAGGGCAACGATCAGTAACCTCTGCTGGATGTCATCGATAGTCATGAAGAATATCTTCACTATATCATCGTCCACGCATATATGTACGCACCAATTATCTAGTCCCTGCGAGCACAGCTTCACTTATGTAGCGCTCCAGCTTTCAGAACTTTTTCACCTACAGTTGCTTACTCGGCGACTCGCTAAAGCCCATGAACGCAACTCTGTTAACCAAGTTCGCATTTACTTTAGGCTCCCTGTTCCTATAACTGTCTTTCTTAGAACTCCTAAATAGCCAAGTTTGGTGATAAATAACAAATATTTTCATAGCTGCCAATGTTCTTCTGCACTTTTTGATAGCTATTTTGGCATCATCGCGTCACGATGTCAGATTCCAATAAGCTACTTGTTCTGCAATGGTCATGGAGAGAATTACCCCATACGGTGCAACGTTGTATTGTGGTCATCCAAAAAACATACTGAAATATTGGGCCCACATGAAGGAAATAAACAAGTTTATTTTTGGACCGTAATTGATACTTTTTCTTTTGTAAGGAGTTTCAAACTTATGAATTAGATGTTTGATAGAAATAATCGTCATTAAATTTTACTTAAAAAATCATTCGTAGAATATTATTCACAGTCACCTCATGAAACTGAAATGACACTTGAAAAAATCTAAATTGAACTTTGAGCCTGTAATTTATAAGGAATGGAACTTGTGACCAATGGACTAAAATTGTGGCTCTCTTAATTTTTCAATGAACACTTCAAGAGTAATGTATACTCACTTTGAACATAGTTTTTTGGTCACGGCAATGTCCGCCTTGGAACAGCCCATATAATAAGTACTCTCGAGCTATATACGCATTCGACTCTGGATGCATAAACGGGTTATTTTCTCGCACGTCTCGAGCGCTGAGTACATAAAGAGGAAAGAAAGAGAGAGAGAGAGAGAGGTAAAGAGATGCTGTCGCTCGCTCTGTGGCTTGTTGCTGCTGCTGTCATCCG